AAGGTAAAAATACTAATTAACTTTTATCTACTTGCTATTAAGACAAGAAAATAGGCTAAAAGACTTTTATAAAAGTCTTATTAAAATATTTTGAATTCTTATTGAACTAATATAATAGAATATTAATTAAAAAATCATTTTTAGTCATATTTTCACCATATAATCATGTCACAACATGACAATGTATCTCTTCTTGAGTCATATAAGACAATGAATATCTTGGAAAGATGTCAAATACTACTTGCTCCTATAAAAGTAGATAATAATCAAAAATTTGAAATAGAAGAAGATTTAGATTCAAGATGGTGTCAAAATAGGTTGGTATATCTTATTTATTAGCACATATATGATATTAGTGAACGAGCATAGGAACTAGCAAAGAATCTTGGAAATGCAACAAAGAAAGTTGAGACTTTTCATTGATGATATCCATCAAAATCAAGATAAAAAAATAATAAATATTTTCTTTAAAAAAATTAGGTGTTTGGAAAAAAAAAAAAAAAAAAAAAAAAAAAAAAAAAAATCTATCTTTTATTCTTATTTGTAGCTATTATGTATTTGTAACATCAAGGATATGGAGAACCAACAACAAATAGTTTCAACTTAATAACTTTCATTTGCTAACTTATCAAAGAAGGTATTGCAATTATCACAACCTTCAAGATGACGTAATCAAGATGAAGATCCTTAAAAATGACATGTCTTTCCTTGAATAGATGGCGCAATACAATGTCTTTGATATCGTGACTTTGGAAGAGACTTCCAATGTTTGGTAATTTTATTAGAGGTAAGAACAACTCGTGATGGTGTTTCAAATGTTTTATTTGAAGGAGGTTAGAAAGGCCTCAACAATGACCAAATTACAAGGTAGTCTTCCCGCCTTGGTATGGAACATTATTAATAGTTGAGAGGACCTATCAACCATCTTTGAAGAAAACAAAGATCAGAGTGTGTGACAAATATAATATGTTGCATCTTGAATTTTCATAATATATGAAGACTACTCTTTATGAAACTCATCCTTAGAAAGAAGGATAATGTTACAAATATACATATTTATTCTAATATTTACCTATATGATTAAATAGAAGTAGGTAAAAATAAATTTATTCTATAATATTTTCTAGAGAAGCTTCTTAGAAGCTTTGTAGATATTTCTTTGACTTCATATTTATTTGTAATTGATTGATAGGCTAGAAACTTAGTCAACAAGTTAATCATGTATCGATAGCTTACAAAATAAGCTAAATATGTGGCATAAATATAAAAACTTATCTTGTAAGTTAAGATATGTGTCTTGCAAAGTCAACATGTTTTTGAGGTCTTAAAGGACATCACCATGTAGTTCCTAGTTAAGAGTATATATGGAGGGAAGAGTGAAGCCTTTTTCACTCTTGTCAACATCTTTCTAGTCTTTAATCTTTTTTTAAGACTTTCTAGTCTTCTTATCTTTGGCAATAATCATTATAGTTTAATATCATGTCATCTTTGAGTGACTTTCTAGTTCTTTTGAATGATACAAGAGTGTATTAAAGATTTCTTTCTTTGAGATTTATGTTCTTTACACATGGTCTCATTCAAGAAGTTAGATTATTAATTATAGTTTCACAATAATTCACAATTTAGTATACAGATGATACTTTCTTCATAGTTAAAGTAGAAGAATCTTTTGTATCCAATTTGATTAAAATTCTTCATATATTTAATAAGATTTTAGGATTAATTATCTATTGGTCAATATTTGGTGTCAACTGGATTGAAGAAGAGGCCCTTCTCCACTCTGAATATGAATGTATTAATGCACATGGATGGAAGAGGGCTATCTTACAAAGCTCTTAGGTACTCTATTTGGCCTTTCTATCAAGACCAAAGAAGTTGATGATTTCTTCTTAATCGGATGAAGAAGAAACTTACATATTGGAGTACAGCAAAACTCTCATGAGCTGATCAAAGACTAATTGTTACTCAAGTTCTCATGTCCACTCTTTAGTAATTTATTGGTGTTAGGGGTGGTTCTAAGTAGGTCATCAAGCACATAAAAAGTCTCCTTAGTTAGTTACTACCTCTTAGTTGGGCACAAACATGAAATACAAACTAGAGTAGCATGGGATATTTGTACCCGTAAGAAGCCACTAGGAGGACTGAGCCTCACAAATCTGGACAATACAATGACTGCATTACTCAGCAAATGGATGGTAAAAGCCTCTGAGTCTGGTTACTCTAACTTGCATTATTTTCTCCGATACAAAGTTTTATGCTATCAACTTGAGAAGAGAGGTCGTTAGCAATTCGACATCCACTGGCCTTTGATACGTAAACATCAAAGCTTCCCAGGTTTCAAAGTATGGAACAAAGACACTAAGGCGTGGAAACAAACAGTAATTCAACTTCAATGATATAAGCCGAAGTCTTTTGAAGCTGAGATGTCCGCCTGGGACACAATCGCGAAGGCCATTCAGAAATAAATTTGGCCACCTCCTTTCTACCAGAGCCGTTGCTCCAGGTCAGAATGATTGGTTGGGTCTTTTCCTTCTGCACCAGCCTCTTGTACTCGCCCTTGCATTTTGTGCCGGTTTTGTTTTCATGTCCCAATGTGAACTAGAAACCACCGTCTGGATCAGAGACCTTTCGGACTTACATACAATCACAAGAAATCCATACGCTTGTGACCCTCCTTGATATTCGAATGTGGCTAACAGCCATGGCGGCTTCTCCACAACTTTACTCCACTGAGAACATCATAGAGGTAACCCTTAGAGGCACATTACAGAAAATCAAAGTTACTAAGGTCACTAAAGGGGTACACTAGTATAGTACCCGATTTTACTATAGAGCATTTTTTGACCTCCAGTTTGACCCGGAAAGATTCGAATGGCCATGCAAGCTTCCTCTGTTAGCGTTCACCACCAAAGCCATACGTGAATGCCTATGCAGTTCGATTATCCCAGTTGATCTCCACTCCACCAAATAAGAGAATCAACTCCCACCCTCTACCAAATTCGACTAAAAACACACTTGGCTTAAGAAATGAACACAATAGAAGGTGGCTTTTACTTGAGCATATACCATAAAGCAATGAATGGAGAGATAAATTCGATTCACACATTAATACAGCCTGCCCATTCTGTCCAAGAATCACGGAAACGATCATGCATGATTTTGGCTGTGCCTCGAGCAACTCGAATCTGGAACTGGTGTGTTACAATAATACAAGACATACAACGCAAGGAGATCAAACCACCCGCGCAATTCAAGCATGATTGACAACACTACTTTTTTTCAAAGAACCTATCCAAATGATTCAGTAAGGTCAACCTAATCTGGACTCAGTTGTGTGATATCACCCTCTAGGAACTCTGGCTAGAGCAAAATGCTAAAGTATTACATGACGATGACAAGCCACTCGAACAAACAACCACTCGGATCTGGTGCAACCTACAGGACTATGGTAGAATAGAGTGGAAAGAATTGATCCAAAAACTGACACATCCCAAAGACACTGATGATTTCTGGTTTGAATCATTCGACAACTCATGGGGTAGTAATAGTGTACTATGCTCTAGATAAGGTAGCCAGCTATACTGGCTCCCGCTTAAACGTAACACTCTGAACAGTAGACCATGATCCCATTTAGTTGGGTTGTACCATAATTAATGTTGAGTCACCAGTCCAGCTAGGCAAGGGGTTTTTTAGCTTCATTTTTGCATAGCCTGTATAGGTTACTCCCTGCAATGAATACATATTAATTTGTGCCCAAAATAAATAAATAAATAAATAAAAACCTAGTTTGAAATTTGTCTAAATTATGTCACAGTCTTGACTGTGTGTGCAAATATAGACTGCATCTGAAATCGTCAACTCTCTTAATTTGCTTCAAGTCCATCATCCGTTGCAGACAAGGCTTAAAATCCCCCCGGTATCAGTGAATGTACCAAGGGTTATCAATGTATCAAGGTTTATTCAATGCTTTTTCTCTTGTCCTATCTCACGATCACCTCTGGTACATTCAGAGCTCAGATGTTCACCTCCAATGACAAAGGTTAGTCTATGATTAATATCATGTAGCCAGTGTAGACCCTGGAGGATAGCCTGCAACGAAGTTATTGCGAATGTGGTGAAAGTATTCTACGCTGACCATCAATTACATCTAAAGTAATTTTGGGATTAACCCTATCTATTATCTTCTCAGGAGGTTCTCCTGATCCTCTCAGGAGCTTCGGTAAAACAGAATGATGAGCAAACTGTTTTTCAATATTACACTGCTGTAATCATTCCTGTGTGATAATTAGGTTGAATTAGACTTATATTTTCAATAATAATGGGAGACAAATAGAGACGTGAATATGACAGGCAAGTGTTTTTACACCTGCAATTGACGAACAGGGGTTCCTAGAGGGTAGTACTGTACGTTTGCCACCCTTTTTCCATGGATCAGTTCCAATTTCAGAACTGAATCGATGGTAACTGAAGTCTAAACAGAATGGATCATTTGAACTTTCATCTACGACTAGCGACCACTCGATCCAGATTTTCCTGAAATGTGAACTAATCATTTTGCTTGGGGGGGGAGGGGGGGACTGTCCAAATAGGCACTCAACTTGCAATTTGCAAACAAATAAACAATGCCAACATCTTTCTTTAAACTCAAACTGATTCTGAGTTATATTGGAGTGATGTAACAAAAAGGATGCTGCTGGAATAGGTCAAAGGCTTAAATTAGATCCATTCTTTGCTTTCTTGGGCACTACAGAAACTTTAAGAGCTGATTCTCAACGTGTTCTGCATGAACATTCCTTTTTCAGAAGCGACAGCCATTTTGGAGGATCACCAATATTCTGTGCCACTGCAGGTGGAGGGTGCAGAAGGGAGTCCAGTCTTACTCAATGTTATTCGTGCTTATAATAGTACATTTCTGGACCCACATGCTACGTCTGATGTGTGAAGAATCCACACAGCTTCTGCTGCAAATCCCCCACGTTCTAATTTGGCTCAGCCTCGTCTCGGATTTATGCTTTGGCTGCGCTGCCGCTGTGGCTAGTTCATTAGAATCCAGCACCCAGTATCTGAAATTATTCGAACATTTCCAGAGTTGGACGCGTCGCATATTTTATGTAGTGAAATTATTGGAGCTTCTATTTATTTGTTTATTGTAAAATTTGATCGTCGGTTTTCTGGTTGAAGTTATCTATTGGGGTGATGTGGTCAATGAAGGTCGATTAGGTGAAGGAGATGCAGGAAAGAATCACAAATGCAAGCTCGGTCTGTGGAGGAGGATTCTATTCGGGGTCCAGAGTTGAGGACGTAGTCAGAGGTGTTAGTGAAGGCCCTTCGTTTTTTTTTTTTTTTTTTTTTTTTTTTTTTTTTCGTTTTGTTAAGACACTTTGAGAGCTGTATGTTACAAGCCTGGCGGTACTCTGCGGCCTTCCTGTTTACAAAGAGCTCAGCCCGTTTTTCTGAGAGGTTGGTCGCGGAGAGAACCTTGCTGTGATCATAGTGGGTTCGGTTCTAGTTAAGCTGGATTTGTGTTGGGGTTTATGGTTCACAGGTACTGTCATTGACGTGCGCATGCTATTGTCATTTCGTTTTTCGTTTCCGTGTGGTATCTTCAGCGTCGTGTGGCTGTTTTGTTGCGTCTTGGTATCTAACAGAAGGGAATTCCGTTGCAGGTTTCTATCGAGAAGTGAGGTGTGTTTTATTGGAATAAGTTTCAAGGTGAGTCGTCCTGGTGGAAATTGGGGATGAGGGAGTTGTACAGGTTGTGCTGGTTGTCCATCTTGGACTGAAATCGGTGTGGCAGGTGCTGGACTCTGTTTGTTTTCCTTCGCGCTCGACAATTTTGAAGGGATAGAGTGGAGATTGGGTAGAATGTTGAATGGAGTGTCGATGTTTAATTGTTTTAAGAAGAATTCGGTAATGACTTTGTGACGAGTTCTCCTACTTTGAATTTGGGAGCGTGCGCAGTGGGTTAAAATGGTGAGTATGTTTGGGAAATTCCCGTGCAGCCGTCCGAGTCATCGCCCGAAGCATCAGTACTTTTTGGTGCGTAGATTTACCTCCCGCTTCCCATACCCTGCGCATTCTGATGTACAGATGTTTCTGTATGTGGATTTTGTAGCAAATTGTGATTGGCGCACTTCTGTGAGACTTTTAACTTGTGCACATGTAGCAGGTGTTATCCTAGAAAAGCCCGATCTTTCCTTAAAAGGGGATTTGGTGCTATGAGAAAAGAATCAATATTTACGACAAGTGCTTTTTTGTTTTGTTGGTGATCTGCAGGTGGAAGGTGTAGGCGGGAAGAGAATCAGCCCTGCCGCTGCACTACATGGTGTGCCGCCCTTGGAAGCCTTCGAACCAGTTGAACATCCAGCAGAGCCTAAAGAGATTGACAAGCCAGTTCAGTGCCCGCCACAAGAAAATAGCATCATGCAGGTATTTGATCTTAGCGCTGCTCCAGACACAAGCACACATGTGTATGTATGTATGTATGTATGGATAGATAGATAGATATATAGATAGATAGATGGATGGATAGATCTGCTCTTGCATTTGATTCTATCTAAAATGAAGTATTTTTAACCTTTTCTTTGCGCAAAGAAATTGGTGGCATAACGAGAACGACGAAGTGGCATACCGCTGCATCTGCGGAACATTTGATCTATTGGCGATGACCCTGATATTATCCTCTTGTGTTCTGCATGTATTAACCAGGATGGATTGATATGGAGGGAAAGAGTAGCGAGGAGTTTCCGGCGTCAAGTTGAAAGAATCAGCAAATGGCAAGAAGGTGATGCTGCAGGGCACTCACAAATCACCGGGAAATCAGGCAGGCAGGAGAAAATCGATCTGGGCGAGAAAAGTCTCTTCATGACGCGTAGTGCGCCTGCACATGCAGTCACACAAACACTAGATTGACTTGATTGCTTGACGGTCCTGGTGGTTCTGCCTGGAGGTGCAGGGTGCACAGATGCATTTTTACATAAGTAAGTCCCAAAATTAATTTCCCAACTTCAGTTTCCAGATCACGTTTGATACTGAAACGGGATTATCGTAGCGTACTAACCAAGGAAAAGTCGGATCTTTGTAACCATCAAGTTCAGGCGTTGCTGTGGACGATGCTCCTCCTCTGAGAAGACAGGAAATCATTCCTAATAAACCATCTCTTATCGAACTCATTTCCGACAACTTCACGACTTCAACACAATCCATGCAGCATCTCGGGCAAACCGTCTCGTTTATTGTGAGCGACCCCAGAGCTGCTGCCAATTGTTTTAGACTTGCTCCATCGCACATTGTTGTTGACTGTGGCAAAGTTGGGCAGGCAAAGAAGAAGAAGAAGAAAAAGACATGTTTGTTGAAAGTATGGTCTCTACAACAATAACATTTTGTTTTGTGGGTGGCATCTGAGGAAGTATTCTTCAATTTTTTGCATGAGGTTTGGTGAGTGGGATGAAGGACATTAGTGTAGGAGATGATTTACATCTATGTGTAAATAAATGTCAAATAATTTGTTTGAATGTTTCTTTGTAAAGATTAAAACTCAAAAAATGTATTAATGTGATTAAAGTTGGTTTTTTTGTCTTGCTTCCATTGATAATAGTAAACAATTGATTAGTGCATCATTCTATTTAATATGAATTGATTAGTGCATCATTCTATTTAATATGAATTGTTAGTTGCTGAAATTTTGAAACATATTTAAATACAAAACAATGTTCATACTATAAAATCTAAATGTTAGATCTTGTGCAAATCATTTGAATTATTATTAAAATTATTCAAATAATGGCTGTTTTTTCCTAATCTAAAAGTATATTATTATATTTTTATAATTCTAAAAGTCTATTCTTAAAAAAAATTTATATTTATGTTTGTTATAGTACATATTATATAGTTTTAAAGAAGATGTGAAATTTATCAATGTAAAATTAATTTTTTTAATTAAAAATAATAGAAAAAAAAACGTATAATAGACTTTTAGAATTTAATTTGAGATTTAATATGGTTATGAATTAAGTAAAATTGCTTTATTTTTTATTTTTTATTTTTTTCATGTAATCCTTTAATATTATACTTTATTTTTCATTATATTTTCTAAAATTTTAATTAAATTAATATTTTTTATTTCTTAATTAATTTACTTCTTTATACAATATTTTTTTATTTCGAATATCTAAAGAATTTTTAAACAAATCTTGTTGTTATTTTCTTAGATTAAAATATACTAATTATTTACATCCTAATATATGGAGTTAAAATTAAAATTTTAAAAATAAGTAGTGGTATTTTTTATTTTTTTATTTTTTGCATATTTTTTTTAGATTTTTATTCTATATAGGAATTAAATGCATTAATATTCCTTAGGAATGTAATAGTGGTATTTTAAAAATTTTATTTTAAAGTATAGAAATAAATACATTTTATTATTTTGTATAATATTGAAATAACCTATATCTTTGATTTGATCTAAAATATTTAATAAATTGTTAATATACATCAAAACATACTTCTCAAATATGCATTGACAAATATTGTAAGTTAAAATTGAATTAAAAAATTACCCTTTTTTTAATTATCATTACCATTTATAATTTTTTAAATTAGAAAAGAAAACTTTCTGTAATATATACTTGATAAAATCAAAGTCACCCTTGTCAAGCTACAAAATTGTGTTTTATTACTATATACATATTTTAATAAACTTTATTGTTGGTCTGTTTTGCATTTAAGTTTATTGTAGAAGATAATTTGGATGTTTCTAATTTCTAGTTTCTTTTCAAAAATTTAGAGTAAAAAAAACTCAAATATATATATATATATATATATATATATATATATATTAGACATAAAAAAATATTAGTTTCAATTAGAATAAAATATACATTAAAATAAAGATAGGAAGAATATATATTTTTTAAATTACATATATTATTGATTACATAAAAAAAATGTAATTTTAAATTAATTTTAAAAAATTAAAATAAATATCAAAAAAATAGTAGAAAGATATTTAACATTTCAGATATTTTAGGATCTTTGTATTATTATTAAATATTGTTTCTTGTTTTGTGCTTCTTGTATTGTATTTAAAACTAGTTTGTAAATTATGGGATTTTATATTCTTTTCTTTATTAATCTTAAAATCATTATAAATATATATTTTTCTTTATTCTTTTAACTAATTTATGATAAAGTTTTTTTATTCTTTATTTTTTAAAAAAATTATACGGTATTATAGAGTATTGTAATAGCTATGATTGATTTACCCACAAAGTGTTAGATTTCAATCATTGCTTAAATTCTATTGCTATACAAGATAATATTTATTTTTTTGGATTTAATGCAATATTGTTATGCAATAACATGGTTTTAAAATTAAAATAAAAATAAATGTAAACCCTTTCAAATTCTAGAAAAAACATACTATCTTTAATTACAAATACACAAGAAATCAACACAAAATAGAGTTGTTTTACTAAGATTTGAACAAACATATGTTCACAATTGTGGTTCTATTATTTTAAGGACAAGAGTTGCTAAAATTCTCAAAGATTTTCCAAAATATATTCTAAGTGCCTACCAAATAGGCACTCGCCTTGTTGTAGAGGTACTACTTATACTCCCTTTTAGAACTTATAAGAGGTCAGTTGCATAAATGGTTAGTAAGCATGCCACACTTCTGATATATATATATATATATATATTATTTAGAAAAAAATATAATATATTTTTATAAAAATATTCATTTTTCTTCATACTTTGTCTAAATAAATAAAACTAAACATTTTCTTATGTTATATACTACATTAATAGATACTCTTCTATCAAACATATTTTACAATCAACAAACTAAAACTTAATTTAATCTTTTTAACCATTACTAATTCTATTTATATAAGTATTGCATTATCTTTGTATTTCTCTTCTTCTAAAACTCTTTTAGAAAATTCTAGATATTTTGTGTTAATTTCTTTTCTTAGGTTTATCATTAACTTATTTATATTAGATTTTTCAATTGTTGCATCTAAGATATCATTAATATATAAGACAAGTATAACATATTAATTCAAGGTATCATTTTGCAGTTGTTTGAAACATATAAAAGAATCAAATTTATTGCAAATATATATATGTCTATATATATATATATATATATATATATATATACATCAAACCAATTATACCATGGTTTGATACTTTTCTTCAATTCATATAATAATTTTTTTAAAATTTACATATAATTTTCTCTATTTTAGATCTTCTAAGTCTTTCAAAATTAATATATGTGGATTTATGTGTTTATTATAATTTAGATATAACAAATAATTACAACATCCAATTGTTTCAATTACAGTTCATGTTTTACAACTATCTTTGAAAACATTAAAATAAAACTAATCTTGACTATAAAAGAGAAGATTTTATTAAAATCAATATCTTCCTTTTGAGCATATTTTTTTTTTATCAATCTTACCTTGTATCTTGTTTTACATGTTTCAAGAAGCTCTATATTTTTTTTGCTATCAATATTGCCTTGTATCTTGTTTCACATGTTTTAATAAGCCCTACATTTGTTTTGCATATCTATTTATAATTTTATATGTTTCAAACCAATCGTTTAAGATTTTGTATTAGATTTTTATTTATAAAAATTTCTCTTTTATTCATTAATTTCTTTAATTTTATAATATTTTAAAAAAGTCTCTTATATCGCTTTAAAATTTAGAACATTGAACATTTTATAATTGAATTATTTAGTTATACTTGAATATCCTAAAAAGTTGTTTTATATCTTTGTTATTTCAATTTTTTTTCTTTGATTGAAGTGTTTCAATGAATCCAATCAAATTATAGGTCTTTTTTTTAATAGAAGAGCTTTAAAAATCTTTAGATATTTGAATGTTAGTGAAATGTTTTTACAAAGATTCTTTGAAATTGTGTGAAGACAAGCTATATATCACAAACATCCATATTTATTAGTATGTTTACCTAGGAAAGTAGAAAGAAATAGAATTAGGTAGAAGGAGGTGAAAATTAATTTTAAATTATATTAAAATTTTCATATAATTTTATTAAAAGGTTTGTAACCTATTTGTATAGTGATCCTTGATTATTGACAATATATATTTAATATTTGTAATAAAATTATATGCAAAGAATTGTAGATTGAAAAGTTAAGGATAATATTTTTGACACTAGAAATAGTTTTATAATATGGATGCATTGATTAAAAATATAAATATAAACCATCATCAAAAACTTCTCCACTGCCAGATTTGCATTGGTCAAAAATCAATAAAAAAAAAAAAAAAAAAAAAAAAAAAATGGATCCTCAACCAATGATAATGGGTGAGTCAATTTGGTGAATTGGATTAATTCAACAATTTCTTTAATGTATTATAAAAATTTATTTTACTTTTAGAAAACTAAAACCTCTAAAAACATAATTTTATTTATAGAAGGAAAATTTATTTATTCAATCCATACAAAATATATTATAAATCATAAATTATTGATGGTGATAATCTTCAAGTCTGATTTTTGAAACAAAAAACACAATTTCAGTATAAAAGGTTTTTTTACAGAATTTTTATTTTAATATTATTCTCCCATAGAAAACATTAGACAAAAAATGAATTATTTCTATCAAACAATATAAATGAAATTGGTGTTATAAATAGATAATACACATATAAAACTAAGAAGAAAGAAAAGAAAGGTAAAGATAAATATGTTTATAAAATAAGAACACAACAAAGCATTATAAATATAGAAAGAAGAGGTAATTAAATGTTTTCTACACTTCTAAATAATGTGCTTAGTTTTTAAAGTTAATGAAATGTATTAATATAAAATATCAAAAAAATTAAATCACACATTATAAGTATAGAATATGTCTACAAAAAAAAAATAGATCTAAGAACATATACAAAAGAAGTACTCAAGAACTAGTTACTTTAAAGAAATTTTATTAATTGAATTGAAGGAACATTTTTAAAGCAAAGCCTACATTGAATTGGTTTTTTAATTAAAATTTATGTGAAAGCAAGTAATTTTTTGTATATAATTTTAGTCTTCTTCGTAGGCAAAAATAGACAAAATCATTCAAAAGTATATTAGATAATAGTTTTGAATATGTTTCTTACATCCATAACATCTTAGACTCTTTTTTTCTTTTTTTTTTTTATTCCTTGAAGATTTGACCTTAATTTTCTACTTTTATAAAATATTTAATTTTATCTAATTTAAGAATAGATAAGTACAATACCATTTTTGCATTTATACTTAAAAACAAACAAGAAAACTTTGAATTTATTTTCTTAATTCAACTGAGTATTACTGTTTCTTTCAAAAATCACCTAGATTTTTAGTATTAAAAAAAATGCATATAAATAAAATAAAATAAAATAAACAAACCTCTTCAGAGTTGATTCAAATAAATCAAAATCATGAACTATTCAATAAAAAAGTAGCAAGAAAAAATCATCTTATTTTTTAAAGTAGCTTATTTTACTTTTGTTTTTTTGAAAAACGATCTTATTATAGAAAATAGTATTTAAACAATTATAATAAGACATTTTGAATAATTTGGCAAATCATTCTATTGAATTATACATAAAATAAAATATAAAATGTACACGCTTTTTGTGAAAGACCATCAAATCTACTTTAGATGTTCTTCCTATTTTTATTTGGATACTAGTACCATTATTATAAATTTAGAAAAAAACAAAGAGGTATTTATGGTCACTTATGTTTTCATTTTAAAAGACCAAAATATTCTTTACATGCTATTTCTCAATAAATAATATGAATAACATGCTCTTCTAAAGAATTCAGATACTTAATTATTCTACTATCATTTGGTTTTAACCACATTGAAGACAAATAACTTCTAGCTCGTAAAGTAATTCTATGTTTTTTCTGAACAAATTAGAATTGTTCATCAAGATAGGTACACACAATTAATCACATGATCTTTCAAAAAAACCTTATTTAATATACTCGAAATAAAACTTTAAATTTTCTTTTATATACAACACGTTTCCACAAATTATTATTTTTTAAAGTTGACAATTTTGTAAATCTATTACTCTTAAGAATAAGACTCTTTCAACAATTCAATCCCTACACATCAATTACTAAAAATATATACATCAACATTTAGTCATGTACAGTTCTGTACCTACCTCAAAAACATCTTAAAATCCAAAATAAATAAAAGAATGAATCTTCCATACTAAACTAAATCATCCCCATCATTACTATTAAACTTTTACACATAAATCTAACTCACCACATGACAATTATGTTGATGGATCAGGTGAAGCGTAATCCTGTTGAAAATTCTCATTGACAATATATTCATTGTTTTTCAATTGGTTCTCATGATCACTGAAAGTTTGTCGATCTCACAACGTGCTAGTAGCTACATTAGGAATATTTTTGAGAAACTGCTGGTCTCACTTTGCAGAAGCTATATATAAACAAGCTACCGCTTTAAAGGGTTAATGGGTCTTATTTATCTATTCCCACCATACCTTTGACAAATTGAACTAGAAGCACAATCCCGGCTCACACAAACCATTACCGCAGACCCGCCAGTATGGGTCCGCAAAATTTAATCAAACCACCCAACCGTCGAGAGCTAGAATGAGACAAAGTCAGTTGAAATTCCATGAATTCTGAAAAGACTCTTTCATACTCTAAAACAAAACTCACTACCCAAGGAGTCTATCCAAGACGAGATTACCCTGTGCGTCTATGAGGTCAGGGTGGTGCCTCATAGCAACCTGGGGATGACTTCTTACAAAGCTTTTAAAAGTATTAATCCCAAACACAGGGTGTAGTTTGTTTCTCCCACCATGAGTAGATTCCCCGCCTTTGGTAGTGGTGTCTCGCCATTCTTTTGATGTTATGGACTTTATGTCGATGGACTTTGCCTCGGCATCCAGACGAGGATTAAAGAAAAAAGGAATTGAGTACCGTGACCTGGTCCCCGGCAGGCTCAACACACGGTGAACAGTGGCTAAATAGTACCCGTGCGTTGCCAGTTGTAGCATCTCTCCCAGATTCACCACCAACGTGCCTTCAATGGGTGGTACGTCGACCCAAAGGCCATCCACAGTTTGTGCCTAAATAGACAACCATCACATGAATCCAGTCACTCCAAAATCTGAAATTAGAAAAGACCAAAGACGCAAGAATGATAGTGACCCTAGTCCCTTGCTTATTATAGAGCCGCATATTCATAAAATGCATGCATAACAAAATGCTTCCGCAACGCTAAGTATCCCCTAAAACCATAACCAAGATCAGTAACTCACAGTGGATGATCAGGTGCATACCTGAAGACCTCCAACACCGTCTTGCAGGAGTAGGCTCAAAAATCCAGTATCAGAATGTGGGCCAACACCAAACGTGCCAACTTCCGCATCACCATCCTCTGTTGACCTCGGAGGATATCGTGCTACCTGAGAATCCTCATACGAGTTTTGATAACAAACTCACAATTATGAGTAATGAGAACATTTATATCCTCGAAAGCATTTTTTGTTGAGCACGGGAAATCCAGTTTGGAGTTTCTCAGATGAAAATAGTAGAAGGAAGGCAAGCTTCATAGTGCTTTTTAAAACAATATTGAACAAAACAGACAGTAGTTCTTGAAAAGAATCCGAATGGTTTGTATGAACCATACCTTCATTTGATAATGTGGATGGGGAAGAAAAGTTGAATCAAAGAAGTCCTGATCTAAACCCAATGATAACGCCAACGCCTGCATGAGATGCATGGAAAAGACATTCATCTGCTCCATAAACTCCATAGCAATGGACCGAAACTCCGGAATACATGCAGCTGGTGGCCATTGGTTCGGTCCGCGAAGGCGCATGAAGATAGAGTCTATATTTTCACCTGCATTGCCACACCCACATACTCCATAAAAATTTAGATCATACGGTTTGTATACACGTACATACACTAAAAATGTCAGCAAAGTACTTCGAATGTTCAGAAGATACGAATCCTATTCAATCGACATGTAACCTTCGAAGCTAGCTGCATAACAACCAAGAGCCGTTTGTATTTAATCCGTCGAGCAAGTCCCACACATGTGACGCAATGATAGAGAACACACCAGAAAGAATATCCATATGTGAGAATTTCACGAATCATGCGTGGATCATGATTCGCAATCAAAAATCTGGACTCACCCATATTGGTTTCTGCATTCTCCTCAGGGCCAAACTCAATCTGCTCCCGAAAATCAACAAGCCCCGCAGTGTTCTCCACACCAATCTTCATGTAACCTCGAAACTGTGAAGAAGCTGTATAGTCTATCTCATTCTGAACGAGATAACCACAGCTTGAGGCTTGCCAATATCGCGAACTCACGGCCCTAGTCTTAATGAGATGAACCCTAATCTAGCGATTGAAGCTCAAATTTCTAGAGATACAAGATAGGAAAAAAAAAAAAAAAAAAAAAAAAAAAAAAAACTCCTGGAACTGTCAAATCGGGTTCATTTTTCTGCGAAAACTACGAAGCAAAGGATTTCAGGACATGTGCAAGTATCACCTTTACTTCAGAATTGCAAATCTTAGAGCTTTGTGCGGAGGTATCAAAACGTGCCAACATTTCAGAAGAAAGGTCCAGAAGATACCTTGACACTGATAGGCAAATCAAAGAACTGGCGCGCTACAGCTAACATACTGTCACAAAGCTCCTGCGGGATGCCGTGATTCTTCACATAAAACAATCCTACCCTGTGACATTGATCCCCAAGATTTTCGACAAATTCCTCGCGGGCGCCAGTATCTTCCCCAAAGTATGCCCCCATGTCCAACACAGCTATCTCAGTCGTCTCGGACGACCCAATTCCAGTAGTAATGTCACCCCCCAGCTCGCACGCTACTCCTTCGGTTCGCATCAAACTATTGACCATGACTGGAATGCGAGCACCTCCACGCACTATTCTGGACGCTCCACTCATATCTCGTAAATTTGGACGCATCAGAGACCACTTGCTTCGATTCAGGGTTACACTCATGGATTCACCCCGAAACCCAACTCCATTCGAGGGAAGGAAGTCAGATTGGGCGAGAGACAGAGGACATATGAGGTCAGATCCTCGACAAAAACGCAGCATGATGGCCGAGAGAAACAAAAGCAAACACAACTCGCTTTGAAATGTGCCTAATAAACTCGTTTTCAGATGCAGCGAGATGGTGGTCACTACAGGTGCACGCTATTGTCTACATTACGGCAGCATTGTGACAATTCCTCGACCCCAAACTGCAATTGTGACCCAAGTGAGCAATCAATCTGAGGCATTTCCAGGATGTTCAAAGGATGATGTGGCTGGCCTTGTTGAAGAATGAGAGCCTCCACCACCCGGACGGACGGACGCCTCTCCACGGCGCTGGGCGGGCAGCCACCCCGCCACCTGCCCTGCCGCTACCCTGGAGCCAACCAGCCAGCGGCTCGCAATTATTCTTTTAGTATTATATATAGCATTTTCAGTTGTTTATTTATTATTTATAATATTAGTTCATATCTTAAACATATGGTGATTTTTTGATGTTTCATATCCATGCAAGAAATTTTATTTTGGGGTAATCAAAAAACACTATAATTAATTATTAATCAAGGTTTATGGTATTATACCTATTATATAGTTAATGCCACCACAGTTTTTGCTAGTGCCACCACAACCCCATCCACCACATGTACTCACACCCTTTGTTGACACTAAATAATAAATTATATATAGTTTTTAACTTATTATTTATATATACATATCCATGTACTAATTTGGTATTTTTATCCAAATAAATAAATTTTAGGTAAAAAAAATTCTTATCAAAGTTTTATTTTTAATTAAAATTTATTTTCTATATCAAATTTTAAAAATGTATTAAAAATATTAACATAATTTTCTTTTGGAATTAAAAAAAATAAAGCAATATGTCAACTGGACGGCAAGTTGTGGTGGCAGCAACAAAAATTATAGTGGAATTATTAACAACCATTATATATTAAGATGTTTTTATATGATAGAATGGTATGCAATGAGTTATAATATTTTAAGAAACTTAAAAAGATGTTACAAATTTTGTAGAAGTGTGTTGCTGAGATAAAATATAAGTAGAGTAGTTTTTACATGTGACAAACTATGACACAAGCAAGAATTTTTTGGTTTTATACAACTTTTGTCAGGAGGTTTAAAAAGTGTTGCAACTTCAAAAGTAGATATGAAATTATAATTCTACAATACATATCTGAAACATGTGAAGAATGTAAGAGGATATTAAGAATTGCATGTCTTATTACCCACTAAATAATATATACGTGTGAACATATATATATATATATATATATATATGCTTTTATTGTAAAAAAATAGTATTTTAGTAGCAACACAAAAATAAATAAGAATAAATAAACCTTGTTTGTGTATATAAAAGCATCAAATATACACATTTTTACATCTTTTTGAAAATTTATTAATTTTTAATCTAAATTATCATATGTAAATGAATATATATATATATATATTGGTTACATATAAAGATTCATTTATTAGTGTCAAAAAAAGATAGAAAAATCCAGGTCTTATAGAAACTAGTGTGGATAAGATGTCTTCTAAATTATCTAAAGTTCAATGATTAATTAATGGCCTATCTGAACCAGATAATTTTTACTATTGATGTATATATACACACCAATATAAAAAATTATAAAAAAAAACTATCATTTTTAATCTATTAAATCTAAACTGATATTTATATCCATTGAAAATTTTATGACATTACAATCTTTTTTTTCTTTTTCTTTATTTTTATTTTTATAATAGTTACTTTTTTGAAAATTTATAAAAGAGGATTGAAAACATAATTTGGTTAATTTATTAATTTTATGGTATATCTGAAATCTTCTCTTAAAAAATGAACTCTGATGCTACTGGTTGCAAAACGTATAGCTTTAAACTTGCCTTAGAGTTGTTTTGGCTCAACATATTCTATCTCTAATATGCTCATTTCTTTTTAGAGAAATTACATTCTCCTTTTGTAGAAAAGAATTTCACCTTCTAATTATTCTAAAATTTGCATGATATTATTTTTTAAATATTTTTAGTATATATTTTTAATTCTATAAATCTCTTTTAATGCTTTACATGACACATGTATAAGTGAGTTCTATAGTCAAGTGCCCTTCTTTAATTTTCCTCCATTCATACACAATCACTCAAAATTAATTTTCAAATATACATACTTATACAATTAAAATTTAATTTATCTTCAATTTTGGAATTTCCATCTCAATTCTCAAAAATCCATTGGCCCATAAAGTCCTAATTACACCTCAGAAGTTGTATTATTTGGTTGTGTACTTTAGTTTGCAAAGACAGCTTCAGTACAAAGGAGGAATTAAGTCACCTAGGATGCAGCGTCGGACCCAGCCCGGTATTTCCAAACCCGGCCCGCTGGAAGCAGGGAGGGAGGCACGCAGGGTGGGCGGGGCTGAAGGAGAAGAACAAGAAGCGGCTGCTCCGAGGAGAAGACTCTCTTAAGCTTTCGAGCTAGACTTGCTGCATCCTTCGCCTGCGAGCCCTTCTGCGGCCGCGTCCTCTTTCTCTTCCCCCTCTTCCCTGTTTCCTCCTCCTCTTTTGGTCGCAACCCGGCCTCGTTTGCCTTCTCGGTAAGCACAGCAGCAGCTATGAAGACCATTCTCGCATCAGAAACTATGGACCTCCCTGAGGGGATCAAGGTCGAAATCAAGGCTAAGAAGATTAGGGTTTCGGGCCCTCGCGGTGTGCTCACCCGTGACTTCAAGCACCTCAATCTCGATCTCCAGCTGCAGGAAGGCGGCCGCAAGCTCAAGATCGACGCCTGGTTCGGCACCCGCAAGACCATGGCTGCCATCCGTACTGCTATTAGCCACATCAACAACTTGATCACCGGTGTTACCAAGGGCTACCGCTACAAGATGAGGTTCGTGTACGCCCATTTCCCCATCAACGCCAGCATCGCCTCCAGCAAGGATAACATCGAGATTAGGAACTTTTTGGGCGAGAAGAAGGTATTTTGTCCATCTACTCTGTTTTCTGGAGGTTTAGGGTTTTGGCCATTCCATGGTTTCTTATCTGATGATACTCTTGTTGTGGAAGTTGAATTAGGGTTAGGGTACAGCTGTTTTTTGAGTGTTGTGCTTGCATGTTCATGATTAATTCAATGTAGAAGATGCACATCTCAACCTCACTACCTCATAAATGTTTGTATTTTCGGGGCTACATCTTATACATTGTATTGGGGTTGCCTACGTAGGTGAACATGTAATTTCTTCTAATCGCTGGAATGGTAATAATTGAGAGTATGTGCATTGATATAGTGCTGAAATTTGTTCAGAATGCGCTAATTCAAATTTTAGGAGCCTGTCCTTAGAATGAGGAAAGTGCCTTCATAGAGGCTTGGTCGGGTGCTACCCTCGTTCATGCTGCAAACGTTTCGGGGCTAGTGGTTAATATCACAATCATTTGGAATCATTGGCAATAACAATGTACTGCAGGACTAGACGAGTTGACAGCGGTCCATTGATTTCTCATGTAATGGCAACGGGAGAAGGTCGTTACTCTTCTGGTGTAGCTCTCTAAATTGAGAGTTTCGTCACAATTTCGAGTAGCCAAATCCATAGAACCTATCCTGTTCGCCTGTGCACCTACTTAGAGAATAATTTAGCCAAGTTTGACACTGCATTGGCTTTGGCTTTCAGGTCCGCAGAGTCGACATGTTGCAGGGTGTGACGGTTACTCGATCAGAGAAGGTCAAGGATGAGCTAGTTTTGGAAGGAAACGATATTGAGCTGGTATCTCGATCTTGTGCTCTCATCAACCAGGTATTGTGGCTTTCCTTGACAACTTGATTTAAACGTCGTCTCAAAACGATAGTCATGTTGATAAGCTGTTAATTTTATCTTTAGGTCGTTTTTCATTAGGAAGTGGTCAACGTTTTATTACTGTTGTTGCACGTTCTGTTCCTTGTTTTACTAATTCATTCATTTTTCTTATTCTTTCCGTAGACACTACCAGATGAAGAAATTTACATAGAACTTACCTGTGACATATTTTTTGTGTGATTCAGAAATGCCACGTGAAGAAGAAAGATATCAGGAAGTTTTTGGATGGTGTTTACGTGAGTGACAAGGGAACCATGGATGCCGAGTAAAATTATATGTTCAGTTTTCATATGCTACTCTGATTCACTATAAAATTATAGCCTCGTGTGCAGAACAGTGTCTTGATATGGGTGATAAATGTATCTTCTAAATCGATTGCATGTTCACTGTCATCTGAACGCTGTGCTGTGAGGTCTTTGTGAACACCGGATTTGGGAATGCATCATGAATATTTGATAATATAGTTCGAAATTTTAGTATGTGGTGGATGTCGGAAGGATTTCCCTGCATCTGACGAAACTTTGCAATCTCTATTCTATGGTATCTCCCGTGTCACCTCGCGCTCTTTCCAAAGGTTACCACTCCATGTCGTTTTGATGTGTTAAATCATGCAAACTTAGCTCAGCTCAGCTCAATCCATTATTGGCTTAGCTAACATATCCTTGAACCGTGGGTTTCATGTAGAACTCTAAGGTTATTATACAACCACGGTAATTTGAGTATTGATCTCCTGGAACTCTGTCCAGACTCGAAGCCGAAGGTCTTTAGAGATTCATCTATGCCAGACCTTACTCTGTTGCTTTTACCTATCGCAGAATGGTAGGGAGAATTAGTATTTCTTCATACAATGTGATGTTTCTTCACAGGTGCAATGCTTTATGTTAATGGGCCGACTACGTGTACACCCCGTTCTTATGGTGCACACCTCTCTGCAATTAGGTGGCATTTTTCAACTGTAATTGACTGCACTGCCAAAGGTCAATTTATGAAAGGGGCTGATGGCTCGAGTTTAAAAGTTGATGGCGTCCATTTGCTCCTTTGGGTTGTCCTCATGTGCACGTGATTGTCCGATCTTGGATAGTTGTTACTTGTTCTTGTGTTAATGTTAATATAGCAAGATGCTCATGATGTTCAACTTATTCAATCAATTATTCAACAAGTTGGAGCCTTTTCAACCTCCATCTCCACCTTGAGAGCATAGTGCAAAATTTTGCATCACACTGATGTCAAGATTGCATTGTGGTGATAGATCATCATGTATGCTCAGGCATATGCAATTTGACACCGGATAATGCCTTCCTATTATTGAATTGCAAACATCAAGTTTTTATGAATATCTCTTAAGTCACCAAATGATACGTTGATTCATGATTTTACAACTGCATGCTTTTCTTCCACTTGAGATGTCACTAGATTGCATAGGTGGCAAATATGTTTTGTCCATGCTAGGACGAAGCGCTCCTTATAGACAATCCACATTCTGTCAGGGTATTTGTAAATGTCTACTAGATACCTGACTAGTAGCTCACCTCATGACACATTGAATATTGCCTTCTGAGTAGTGATAATTGTCTTGTTCCAGTTATGCAAGAATTCCTCTCAATCTGCCATTGAGCAAATTTTTTTTGCAAATTCACTAGTATGTTTTTGTTGATGTGCTAAGTGTAGAGAAGACTTAATACATTTGACAACTAAGCATGGACAACCAACATTAGCACAAATTTCCTATTTGTCACCACAACTTGCGGTTGATACTCTATGGTGAATATTTCCTTGATCTTTGTGAAAGTCCATATATAATCATTCTCTATCTCAAGTTTCATGAAGCAAAAATAGTCAAAAAATGTCTAGTTTGTTGAAGTCATATTAATGACATGCAATAGTGGTATTTTGAATCAATTTGTTTTGTAAGTCAAGTCCATGAGGATCATATGTAGAAATTCTTGTACTTATACCATTGCCATAGGCAATACAAAGAAAAGATGTGTGAGTTGTCTTTTGGTATCGTATTAGTAGGCATGCCTCATACTCTAGGTGTGCAAATCATCCAACATCTTAAATGATGTCCATCCATTGAGCTCCTTGTTTTGAAGATGAACTTTCTTGTTGTAGATGTCTTTCAAAACAAGTCGAGAGTTGACATCCCAATGTTTTAAGGTTGCAAGAAGGAATTTAGGTGTCGCATGTACATCTAACATTTGTTTGATGGTTTCATGATTGTTGTAAAATAATTTGTGTGCAGCCAAAAATGTAGACAAGTCTTCTGTGCTTTCATGGTTGTACTATGCGTTTTCAACTTAAATTCTCTACTCTAATGTGCATACATCATTAGAAATTTGCATCACATTATCACACTTGTCATGATCAATGTGTTAATTGTCAGCTGATGGTGTTGCATTATTCTTGTTGACCTTGATTAGGAAGTGCTATTGAATGGTAACGGACCACAAGCAACAAATACACCTTGTGCTTATCTTTCTTTTACACATTTTGTCAATGAAGACGATTTAGAAGATACATTCACCTTTTATGTTCTTAAATAGATCTTTATTCACCTTATTATATTCCAATCCAAATACTTTATATCTCTATTTCTTAATTTCATTTATTGTTGTGTGTAAAAGAATTAGATGTTCTTTATTACACTATCAATCCTACATATGTTATTCATGTCTACTATTAATATTTTATCAAACATATTTTTTATATGTTTGTCATATTCTATTTTACAATAAATTTATTTTTTAATACTAGTGATTATTTTGCTAATATATTTAGAGGTAACCACAAACCTAGTGAAACTCTATACTTTAACAGAACAAGGTAAAAATATCACTTTACAAGTGTCATCCAATAAGAGCCTTTAGAAGAAAAGAAATAAATGGAAATGAGAATAGACTTTGAAGAGTGGAATAATAAATATCACTCCATTGACAACTCTTTGGAAAAAAAATATTTGAAAATATGCATGAAGTCCACACTCTATGGCCTAATTGATTGCTTTTTGTCCTTCGTAGTGTCAAAAGGAGCAAGTTACGCATGAATCTTGACAGCATATTGCTAAAAGAGCTCGTCATCAGATAGAGAATGGGATTGAATCACCGCCTTACAGGTATACGCACAATTTGCTACAGAACCCATCGAACCATGCGAGGAAAGCGGCCACAACGCACACATGTTAGGTTATGCTTTAGACAAAGATTTGTTTCACTTCAAGAACACAAGTTCAGGAGCAATCCGTGATTCACTAGTCCTCCCATCACGTCATTTTGCAGGCGGATCAGGGTACCAGCAAGTAAATTTGACGTCGTTTTTGTCTTACCCGGAAAAATCTGCGGCGTTCTTCACAAGTTGAAGACGATTGAAACTGGAGTGTCATGAACGCCTAATCATCCTGACGCGAAGCACAATCAAACTCTGTGCATAAACTTCACACAGCTTTTTTTTAAATCTATACTGCAGCCGTTGAATATGACTAATTTGCACAATCTAAGGGCTTCATAGTTGAGGGAGTGGAGACAGAGGAAGTGGTTAATTAGAAATTCTCCTACCGGGACTGTTGATAGATTCCGGAGAAGAATCCAGGTGCTCTTCTTCGTCCTCATCTCGATTCAAATACCAAGTTTTACTGGATCGCCATCCGTGGAAAGGGATCGTGTCTCGGTCCTGCTGGCACAGCTTCCCCATCTCACTTGCAATTACCTTCAGAATATGCTTGAACGAAGGCCTTCTGATGCTATCCGCCTCCCAGCATCTCCCCAATAGCGCTCTCATGTTGGGGTCGATGTAATCCGGCAAGCTGGGCCTTCTTCCACTCAACACTATGTCGTAGTTCGTCAAGCCTTGCCCCTCAAAAGGCACACATCCTGTCAACACCTCGTAACACGTCATGCCAAAGCTGTAAACATCCGACTTCTTTGTGCACGCTTCCGCAGCGCCGCTCCGATTCTTCACAGCCAGTAGAATCTCGGGCGCCCTCCAGAACCCAGTCCCAACAACCCCAACCGAGCATTCGAAGTCCGATACGAAGCAATCTGGATACTCGTTGTACTTTCCAGAGGTGAACCGCTCGACGAGCACATTGGACGCCTTGAGATCCCTGTGGAGGAGATTGCTCTTGTGGATTGTGTACATCCCTCTCGCAATCTGCCCCACGATGCGCAGTGCAATACGATCCTCAAACGGTGGCCCACGATTCCCCTTCTCCTGCATGCGCAAGTCAATCAGGTTGCGCAGATCGCCGCAATACTTCTCCAGAACGAATGCGAACCTGCCGTCCTTTAGCAGCGTGCCGCCGATGATGGGCGAAGTGCCGATTCCGAGAACGGCTGCGTCCGTCATGCTCAATGATCTCTGGGCGCAGCGTGACCTGGGGCGCATGGATAGCCTCCGGAACATCTTAGGAGACCATTGGGATTGAAGAGACTGCAGAGAGAAGCCCTCTTTCATCACCTTCACCACACATTTCGACGGCAGGGCACCACCATATATTCGCAGAGTGCATTCGGCTTCAAAAATCTCCGCCTGCCCCCCCTCCGCGATTTTCCCCCGTAGCACCAGGTCGTCGAAGTCCTGGAAGAAGGAATTCGGGTCTCTCTTAAGCCTCTCGAAAATCTCCTTGCTCCTCTCCAGCGACTCGGTGGAGTGCAGCGAGGTTGAGGTCTCTGCAGGTCTCCTACCTAGTAACACTCTCCTGAGTATGCCCAACGAAGCCTTATTCTTACTTTTCTCGACGTGGGATGTGTCCAAGTTCAGCTCACTCCAGTGCTCCTTGGAGATTTGGATCTTGTAGTCAAGCTCACTAGCAAAATCGCTCCTTCGTTGCCCTAAACTATGGGTGCGCATGGAGAAATACGGTGAGGAAATAGGCGCTGAATCATCCGATGTGGAACCGAAAGATGTACTACACTGGTCGCTGGAGAAGGAGCTGGCTCCATTTGCAGCAAATTCGCTGGGTTGGGAGTCCTCCGGTTGCGAAACGATTCCTGCGTCCTCGTGAAAGGGTTTGTCACCTGCCTGACCTATTTGAACCCTAGCCATAGCTCTGCTTCCGCGCAAGTGAGACTTGATACACTAGGGGATCACAGTAAACGTTAACCCTGCAGCACTGCTGCTGGCTCCAACAGAGGCGAATCGCATAGCTTCAATTGTTTCTTGATCACCACCTGAACTAAGTTAACAGCTCTCATAGCCGCCTTGAACTCTAAGAGTGCAACAACATGCAGAAAAGCGAGGTAGACGATCGAGGAGCAATGCAAGCGGGGTGCGTCCAAACAACAAATACTGCTGACATCTCCACCGAGACGGTAAAGTGAGCTGTAAAGAGAGCATGAGCACAATTGAAGGGCGATGGAAGAAAAAAATGAGCGTCTTTCAGCTCTTTCCTGGTCGCAAAAGCAGGTAACAACTCACCAAGCGCTTGTTTGTCTTCATGCGGGAAAGTAACACACACATGGAAAAATGAGACTAAATGAGGTTACTATAAGATGTTCCAGTTGGTTTGGAGATTCTCGAATTCATAACTTGAAGAGCTGCTCCTCACATGAGTTTGGTTGTGGTTCATAGCGAGCTAATGAACTGCAAGGATAGATAGGTAGCCAATACTGTTCAAAGCTACACTTACTTTCAACTCTTTCAAGGCACGGTCGAAGTGATCTGGAATGATCCTGAGATCTTCGGCTTCGATCCCACTGCCCCACTTCCTGCCTGCCCTGCTTTTGTTTTGTTTTATCTTGACACCATACATTGAACATCTGGTCGCAGTAAACATACCCCACCTGGGAGCTGCAGCCGGGGTGGTTTAGACGTATGAACATTCTCCTTCGAAAAGTAACGTCTTTCTGTCTTTCTTTCTGTGTGTGAGTGTGTGTAAAGCTTGAGTGGTTCGAGACCTGTGCTTTGACTTATGGGACCAGTTCCATCGGAAAGTGAAGAAGAATAAGAAGATCTGATGAATGGCTATTCACTCTTGTGAACAAGCACCTTTCACCTACTCCATTGGAGCTATGCCCATCAGCAATTGACTTAGAACTGGTGGTGTGAGAGAGAGAGCGACTATGTTGTAAGAGTGTGAATTGCAAAAGAATCTAAGGTCTTTTCTACATATACTACGATATCTATATTCAATTAAGTATTAACTATTTTTTTCTTTTTTCTTTTTTATTTTTAAATATTTCTTTGCTGGTAATATATTTTTTTTACAAGATACAAAAAATAAAATTTCACCATCATCAAAATAGAAATTAAAAAACTAAAATTTAGCATATTTATAATAAAATTTATTCAAAAAAATGATTACGATTAGTTTAGAATAGACAATAGTTAAAGAAGTTCATATGATCAATGATATGGAGTTTTTGCTTGAAAGCAAATATTATAAAATTTTTGATAGAATTTTATCTTAGAGGCCACTAAAGGTTCCTCAACACACAATTATTATTATTAATAATATTATTAAATTTTTTATTTGTATTAGCCAAGATATCTTATTGCCAAAAACACTTGTCATATTGAAAGAGCTTGTAATTGTATTCATCATTTTTAAAATATGCAATTTTTTACAAAATAGAAAGATTGTTGTTGAAATAAAACCTATTGAAATTATTATAAATTTATTTGTACTTTAAAAAATAACATCCTTCAATACATTTTAGCAAGAATTATAAAGTCAATATATGTTTTTGACCTTATAATTCAAATGTGTAACTATTCCAATTTCAAAAGTATAAATCATTGTTGATTATATTATTCAACTCCTTCTTTTGGTGCAAAATTAGTACAACATGAAAAGGATTTAACAAACATTTTTTTTAAATAACATGTAATATTAAATATAAATCATTATAAAGGTATACTTGAACAATTTTGGCAACAGTTTATGATATGTGTTGATGTAAAATACTTGAGGATTTCATCATTAGTATTAATTGTGATTAGATCAGGAGCACTTTTCAAGAAATTATGTCATTTCTTAAAATAAATCTATACAAAGAAGACATTCTTTTTTGTAAAGCATACAATTAATTTAAAATAAAAAATAAAAAATAGAATATAAAATAAGAGGAAGAACTTTATAAATTTCATCTATTTATGATTAAGACTATATATATATATATATATATATATATATAATCTAATACACCTATTTTTATAATAAATGACTTAAAAATTTTCAGAAAAAATAAAATAGATTCTATAAGTAATGATATTTTTAAACCTTAATTATTTTATTTTCACATCTCTATTCTACTCTAGTTTATTTATTTAAGAAAATTCTATGAGTAGAAAAAAAAAATGAGAAATTTGTGTTCTAAATATTTAATAATAGTTATGAAATGCTAATAAGCATTGAATATCTTATATGGTTCTAAAAGATGTTCAATCTATAATAGTTTGTACGTTCTTAGAATCTATTTTTAAACCATCATTTGAAATGATATACCAAAAAATCTACTTATATTATATAAAATATGTATTTGTTAAATTTTTGCATATACTCTTGTATCTTAGAATTTTCATAATACAAGATATTTATTTTGTTTTATAAATATATTATTTTATTTTTAAAAAAATTTAAATAAAAAGTATAAAAAAATCTAAGAATTTATATTATAAAATTATCATCAAATATTAAAAAATAATATCAGATAAGGCTATCTTCTGGAACCATATTTACTTTTTATTATATTAAAGGTCTTTGATGCCAAATTGTATAAGAGTATAGCCAATATAAAAATCAATAGAACCAAACTTCTTAGTATTAAGTACAACAATATAAATTAACATGGCAATTATTATGTGCTCATAATTCAAGGACATAAAGAGCCAATCATTAGTATAATTGACACTTTATATAATTTTAGTCTAACAATAAGCCTAGATATTAATTGGACCAAAGAAAGTTAGTTCAATAGATTATTTGAAAATCTTTTAGCCATTTTTGCAACTAAAACAAATTACTCTTTTTTCTACTTTCATAATAAAAATAAAATAATAAGAAATAAATAAATAAATAAACTACTAGTATTCTACCAAAGTAAATGTATATGACAAATTACAAATATAAATAATGTGTTACCATATTTTTTTTCTTGTTTCTTTACTTCTATTTTAGTTAAATTATTAAAAGATGTTAAAATAATTTAATCAAATATTTGTAATTTCTAATGTAGTGACATATAAGTATTGATAGAATTAAAAGTTGTTTAGAATCTATTTCAAAATGACAAAGTAGAAAAGGCTTAAGATTTATACATTTAAAACATGCTATATTAGCATTATTAAAAAAATGGATTAAAAAATTATAATATTATATATAAAGCATAAACAAAAATATTTATATAATTAAAATTTAAGACTTTTATATTATTTTATGCAAAATAGAATAAATTAGTGTGGTCAAATCATAAATTTTTCTATGGTTAGTTTCTACATCTAAGCTAATAAATTTTGGATTTACATAAAATAGTGTTTAGAAAGTGAAGGACTATTTGATGTAAATATTTGACGTTTCATTTTTTTTAATATTTTATTTCAAAACCTTACTTTTAAAACTGAAGAAAATTATTTTTTATTTTTTATTTTTTTATATATTATGATATTGTAAAGTATAATTATTTTATAGAGAGATCTAATTTCAAACTTTGCATTAGAATGAGAAAAAACCATAATAATATAAATTTGATGTTTTTTATAAAGAAAATAAGAACTCTAATATTAATTAACTTCAGTAGGTTAGATTGTTAATATTATTAAAGGCCAAAAATCTCTTTGCAAATTTAAAGATAATGTGTGAATTAGTAAGAAAGTTAGAGTTTAATCTCCTAATATAGATAGCAATTTAGAAAAGTCATTATGACACACATAGCCAAACTCAAAATATCTTTTTAGATCTTTATAGTTAACATAGAATTTTGGTAATTCAAAATAGAACAAAATTTAAAATCAAAATTTAAAAGAGTATATGGTTTAAAGTAAGAGACCTGAACAAATTGATATTAACATAGTTATTTTAGCATAAAGTATATATATATATATATATATATATATATATATAACAATTAAAAGACAAAAATTAATACTAACTTATTAAAATATATCCTTGTTTATTTACTCCAAATAATATCACTAGAAATATAAAGATTTTGGAAATGTCCTTAAAATTAAAAGATATGAGATTAAACCATAGTATATGAAAACAAACTGATAATTGGTCAAGAACAATGGAGACCTTTGAATTTTGTTTTTGAAAATAATCATTGATTGCTAATAAATTTGTATTAAGTTTTAAAATATTTGATGGCATTTGTTGTTTTTGAAAAGATAACATGAATTCAAAAAAAAATATGGTTTTAAATAGAGAAGCTAAAGATGAAATGAACACCCTTGAGCATATATGCACAAGTCTTAATAAATATGAATGCTTTTTATCAAAAGAGATATAAAATAATAAAAAAATAGAGAAAAAAAAAGATTAAAACAAATACTAAGCAAAAAAGAAGATATTTTTATATGACTATTCTTAGATAATAAGAAATATGATAGTAAGTAGAAATAGAAAAAAAATTAAATAAAAAATCACAATTTCATGTATTAGCTTAATCTGCATACATCACTTGAGAATTAGATAGATAGTTAAGTTTTGTAATACATTTACTAATTTGATATTCTTATATCTATTCTATAACAAGAGTATTAAAGAATAAGATGGGTTGTTACTCCTCACTTTTTCAATGATTTTCAATTATTTGCCCACAAATGCCCCAAAAAAAACTAATTAAAAAAAATTAATGAACTTCCTCTTAAATGCAACCAACTTTACCCAGACGGTATTTAGCATTTTAGCGAACATGGTTAAAGAAAAAAATCTCTACCGACAACACATTGTTTCAGATCGTATTAGAGATGTGCCAACAAAACGTCCACGTATCGATGGAATCACATTCGGATGCGAGAAAGGATTTACTTGCAAATCCCAAACACCATGCCTTCGAGGAGGCGCTTCCATCAGACTGATAAATTAACCATTATTTGGTGCGGTCTCCAATAATGTTTTTTTTAAAACTCTTAAACAGGATACTAACCATTCGGTTTTGAGCCCTAATCATGTTATCGTTGTTAACAATCGGCACATAATTAGGCAATACAGATAATATGGTCCTGTGGGTTAATCTGGTGGATATACAACTTGTGTTTGCATGGCGTGTAAACCACAGAAAATATGTCATAGACCAATTTTTCCTGCAGCTAGCTGTAAGCGCTCCATGAAGAGCAGGACGAGCATAGCGTGTGGGGCGCAGCGTGCGTAGTATGTCGAAAAGCCTCTGTAAAGAATCAAACATCACCATGTTAAACATGAAGCTTCAAAGGTGAACTTGAGAAACTACTAATCAATCGTACAGAGATAGTCGTCGCAATTGACCATAATCTATCACAATTTATTAATTTGGTGCAAAGAAAAACGTGTAGAACAATTCAGGTGCTCGAAGAAAATATACCTGTAGAAGGTCCAAGCCCCCTCATGTCTCAGTACCTGATGAATGTGTACAACCAGTCCACACACCCTTGAGAAATTGCAACCGAACAAAACTCTAGAGCATGATATTCTTGAACAGGTAAAACACCAGCAAAGCAGTTACTTCGTCTACTCAAAAATGACCTTTTGTCCAAGGTTTAAGAATTAATGCATTCGAAAAATCAAACTTATAACCATGTTTCTACTTAGTAATACACTTTAAGGCTTCAATTTTCTGGAATAGTTTATCACTCAAAGTTTCACAACCAAAGATCTGATAAGTCAAATAGACAGCTAACTTGCATTTAATGCTATGGATAATTACCTTGCGAGCACAATCAACTGAATTGTGGTATGGCATGGAACCGTCAGGCAAGGGCTTCATCTTCTGTATTCGCGTCTTAACAAAATCAAACGGTAAACTGCAAGAGATGCAAATGGAGATCTTTAAATACAATTGGTGGGGAAACCAACCGCAGCAAGCTTGATGCTCCAGAATTTACAAGGCATACACTTCATGCATACATAGAAAAAAAATTAACCACTGATAAGAGTTACAATTATAATTACCTACTCTCAGCGAAGCATCCGTGTATGTATTTTTTCAAATCTAAACCTGCTGCATACAGAACAGAAATCACTGCCACTGATCCAACCGCCACTTATTTCCCACACTTTGTCTCGCTATTTGTGCAAATTAGATGCTTCTCTCCAGTTTAAGATGCAAAACGAACCTGAAGACAGCTATTGATAACCCAGAAATTGAACTTGCCCCCACTTGCGTCGCAAACGAATCTTCATGGGTCCAGTGTTTGATAATGGCCTGCAATTACCCAGCGTGGCAATCGTCAATAGACCTCGTATTATGCTATCTAACCCCTCCTCCCGCCTTCCCCAGGTCTGAATTATTTGTCACAGAAACACGAGATATAAGGTCGAGAATATGACCTCCTTTGCATGATCATACGTAGCAAGCATGGCTACATTGACAGCCATAGCCCTTGTGACAGTCGGCCCTGCTCCACGCCACAACCGTAATACTCCTTCCTCTTTTACAATTCGCTGCAATGCATGCAGTGCGTTTCTGCCACAAGAAAATGTGTGGACTCACAAAACCGAACTCAAATGACTGGCCGGTCGCTTGTACTCGTGAACTGTTAGATGAATCATATCCTCTAGCATTTTGTAGAGGCAGCTGTGAAGCTAAACGTTCACAAAGAAGTAAAAATAATCTCTACTGTCATTGCTGAAAAGTCGATTGCGACAAAAACCGAAGCTACATACGAAAGTACCTGTAATGACGACGCTGCTCAAGAGGAAGAGAACCATCAGCTTGCATGCGTAGCAGTGCTAAATCTGCTGGATTGCCGACGAAGGAGCCTAGAGCTCCTGCAACCTGGGAACATGAATAATAGTGAGGACTCTGAAAGTGATGAGGAATGTGGTAAAACTGAAGAGCTATTCGATTAGTGTATTGCTACATTCCACACATTGGGATAAACATCCGAGGCATCTAAAATTTTGCCTGAATGACACAATGAAAACTGACGAAGTCTAACCTGCAATGGTTATTGAAGATGGATGTGGTTTCCAACGGTTTTCTTCAAGAGCCTAACAACTAGCAAACGAACTTTCGTGCTAGGAGACTCTTGCGTTGCTAATCAGATAGTCTCCATACTCACCAGTCCACAGCCAGCTTTCTTGTAGAAGGGCAACGGTTGGCCATCTTGTGACAATGCATCACTCATCGACCTGAAAATCCCTGTGCAATGCAAGTCTTAGTGAGACCTTAGTTATGGCGGAATTCAACAGAATTTAATCTATCAGTAGATAGCCTGAACAGTCCAATTGAGTTACCCATTCGTGCAGTGGTGTACGTTGCCTGCCGAAGAAGCGCTGCTGAGAGGCCAGTGTACATGATGCGCACTCCTTCATTTCTGATCTATGCCCTCATGCACCCACTGTACTATTAAAATCAGAGCTGCAATTTGCAACCTTTAACACTTACAGTACTGATGTTACTGGCAGAAATATTGATCAAGGCGAATGAAATGCTTGTTACACTATTGGAATTGTAGGCTTCCACGTACTGATTGCAATGTCCACGGTTTCTAAAAGCCTTGGCGAGAACAGAAACTCACAATAGTTGGTGCCAAGTTAAGCACGGAAGGTTGCGCCACCATGGTTCCCTCCCCAATCAGCTGCAATCGCACCTGCCATAGCCATGCACATTTTCAATATAAACACAACCCTAGTCCCAAACACAAAGGGATTGGCGTAGAGGATTCGCAAAGATGTGCGGTACGAATTACAAATCTAAGGTACTTCTCAGAATGATGTTTCTATGATCTGAAGGATGCCACCTGAATACTAACCAAGCATACTTACAGTAACAAGCATAAATTCTTACCTTGAAAAAATCAAGGGGTTGAATTATAGAAGTGGCCATCATTCCGGCAAGGCCCCCGAACACGAAAGGCTTTGCTGATTCCCACACCTTGCGGCCATTGATCTGCTTCTCTTCCATCTTAAACGCACTCTTTCCCTGTAGATTTTTTACTAGGAAAACAGGCGCACCTCACAACAGATGTTGAAATCTTGGAGGTCGATCAGCTGCAGACATTGTTGCATTCAAGCCATTCCGAAGCAACTAGAGTCGCTCCCGTGCTTCTACAAACAATGAATCACTCAAAAAGAATGACTGAGTCGAAATGATTGTATGTCCTCAGGTTTGAGTGTTTAACCTGGAAAAATTGTGGAACTTCGCTCTGCAAAGTGCGCAATCCTTGAAGGAAACCGTTCTGACAATATCTAAGAGCTAATGTGCAAGTTTAAGGCTACAACAAACAGCTCAATCATTCTCTGAACTTAAATTCTACACGACCTCAACTGTTGAACTCGATCGGAGGCAGAGGAGACAACCTAAGACTCAGATTTGCAACAAGTAGAGCAACCCAACTCAAGCAACGGAAACGGGCTCCCGACGCAACCGACGAACATCTCAATACCACAATCCTGTTTTCCTTGAGTGCTATAAAATCACACTGGTTTCGATCAATCGGTGTGAAGATGATAGATCCTGATGAGTCGCTCAACTCCCGTGAGATCTGAACCAAATGACGAGCAGTAAAAGTCGCATATTGATAAGGTGTCGGATTGTGTAGCGGCACCGCCACTATCCACGGCTACAAGCTTTTTACACTATTTTGCCTGAACCTTGAAATCCACAGGGCTGGGTCTCCCCTATCATTTGGAATGACAGCAGATATTCTAATTCTTTAAATGCAGGTACACGTCATTGACAACTTGAGAGAGGATGCTGAAGTTGGCACGCCCTGAGGCTGGAATAATCTACTGTGCAGCATGTTCGAGAGTTTGCAGATTACATTTGAGCCAGCGTACATGACCTGTCCTTAGTGGCTATTGCTTGTCAGCGTAGGTTAATGACAACCTTTGTCAATGACATATCTTTATGATGTGGAAAATTGTCGATCTCATTAGAGATGCAGCATATGATTAGTTTCATGAGTCTCTGCAGATGATCCATTATTCAGTTAGAATAAGTGTATAGAGAAGGAAGACTAGATCCAATATTAGGGTTCCGCCATAGCCAGGGAGTTGGTCGTCAGAGATTTCTCTTTTGGCGAGGAAGTCAATGCAGTTATAGCTTACCCAAATGCTTCACATGGATGCCGCACTCAAATTTCTACTGTATCTGCTGAAATTCTCATCAGTACCGTCGGTTGCCATGGCCTTACATCGACAATACGTCTGCAGATTAATGAACGCCTTACGAACCCAATTTTGCAGCAATTTTAGAACATGCGTGCGTTGAGAGATTGCGCAAGGAACTAGACTGCTCGATACACAATCTCTTGAACCATTGAACTGGACCTTATGTACAAGAGGTACTTTGACTGTTCTATTGTTTTATTTCGATTACATAAACCTAATTTCACAGTTCTTGTGCCTGTAGTTCTGACTGTTTAGCTGCCTGTGCGACAAAAGTTGAAGATTGGTTTTTTTGCCTCGACAGATATCAATCTTAGTAGGGTTGGCGAATGGTGTGATTCATTTCTATATGGAAAATCGAGAATTTACCCCACTTTGTTAGTTTCAGCTTTATAATGTGGCCAAAGTGATCAAGCGTTCTACTTTGTAAGGTGCAGTTGCAGCGTCTTGTTCATTCACAAGACAGGGTCTGGTTCAACTTCTCTGCATGCGTGTGATGCACAAGTTTCATATCTTGCGGTGAATTTCGGAAGGTTTTGTGATGTCTCTTGTTTACTGCATTCACATGGAAGACAGTGGATAATGGCACCTTCAGCGATGTGAGTGATTTTTAGCAACAATGAATGGTCTGGAACCAGGAAGCATCGACAAATGTGTGCAACTGTGTTGAGATTCACAGGCTTCAAACTGTGGAAGAGCTGCTCTACTCATGAGGTTGGTAGTACACAGCAGTCTTACTGCATTGAAGAACTAAAACTGCTTGGGTCTAAGATTCCGAACGTCTGTCTTGTTAAATTATCTTGACGATGCACTCGATGACGTTAATTGGGTATTTTCGCAAGAGAATGCATGTGTAAATTCAAGCGAGCAGGTAACTGTGTTATCTTTCTGTCATCACAACAAATTGTTGCTTAATTTTCTATCAAATGCGTAAAGCTCTGAAAGCGTAGTTCATGAAATTCAAAGTTGCATTTCATTTCACATTTCTAGATGCAAGGGATGAAGTACAGAACTGGATCATCTGTCAAAGAACTTACTGAATCACAACATTTGTTGAACGATAGGCTGTAAAGTTCCTCTTGTTTTTGCCGATTGCAGTTGGCAAGCGAGCTCCTCATTCCGAATGGCACTTAGAAGGTAAAAGTCTTTATTCTGTAAATATGTCATTGTAGTGACGTATTTAACTGAACTCCGTCGAAGTTCAAGTAGTTCGAGTATTGCAGGTTTGAACTGATAATAATAATAATAATAATAACAATCATAAGGAACTCAATCAAACGTGCATAACTGAGCGGATTGGGTTGACACTGCCTTGAATAGAACAAGTTTTGCTTCACATGCAGCACTACTCAGTCGTATGCTTTTAATTTCCTTGTCACTCTGCTTCAGTCATATGATCCTCTGCCTTCTCAATGTATGTCTGACACGATAAGTGCAGCTTCAGATGACATGCCAAGTCCGTTTCTCCTTCGCATGTGAAGTGCTTGGAGGAAATCCCTGGGCTTGTACATGCCATTCTGAACTGTTTATTTGCTCTTGCATGTTACCCAGCACTCTGTAGATGAAGATTCTGAATTGAATGCAGTGAAAGAGCATCACGCTACGTCTCGAGGAAGTTCCCAGTAAGTATGCATTTTCGTCATTTATAATATCTATCGAAAACAGTTGACTCTCTGCATGTTTCATGCCTGTGTCTGCGAATGGCTTTTCCGGTTCAGGACAAAGGAATTTGCCGCCTGCCTTGAAGGTTTAAAGACCAGTTGTTCTGGTAGATTCGACAGAGTTACGTTGCGGTGACGCAATTTGCTCCTGCACCAGCAAAAGAAACGCATCTGCAGACGTTGGCAACCTCGACATCTAGTCCTGCAGAATCATTCTGCTTGAGCAGATTCAGGTGGAGGTCCCACTCTTCATTACGGCTGAGCGCAAAGCCATATCCTTCGCCACAAGAATAATTCTTTCTCCCTGAACAATGTGTGCAAAAGTTGACTAGAAACCATGTGGAATTCCACAGTTTAATGATCTTACAAATGTTCCGGCACACTCTTTGTTGCGGCTTGTCAATTTGGAACACTGCAAGAGTGGATGGAGGAAGTGATCTGACTTAGGCCCACTTTTTTACCCAAAGCCAAAGCTCGCTGCAACAACTCCTGCAACTTAAAATCGAAGAAAAATCTGAGGGAAGTTTGAAGACCTATGAACTGATTCTTACACCTCATTTTTACCAAACAAAACAAAACAAAACAAAAAACAAAAAAACAGAAAAAAAAACAAATAAACACCTTTTTAAAGTTTTCGAGTTTGCAATAGACATATTTTAAATAAGCGAGGTTTATGCAAGTTTTGAGTATTGACGTGTCAAAGTGCTTGCGCCTAACCAATTCTTACTGAACGTATTGATTGTTACTTCATTTGATAGGCTCTCCTTCCCTCGAACCACTACCAAAGAGGCTGATCTTCAACGACGAGTACTGATTTTCAAGAGGTTTTTCTCAGGGCCTTTCATTTTCATTTACAGTGTGGAGTGAGTCCTAGTAGAGTGTCAACTACAATTTGAGCGGCGACGAAAAGGACGACACACAATGAATTTTAACATCGTACGGTTCGTGGGCCACCTTAAGATGCAAGTATGATGTCAGGTAGGGACAATAAGTATTTTGCAAAAGCTTGGAACCTTTTTGCGCGACATTGAAAATTCGTATTCAAAAGATGTGAACGCTGGGATAACAACCGTGCACCAGGACAAAAGAGTATGTCACAAGAAACCACAGTATGAAAAAATCATATATATATATATATATATATATATTTATTCAGAGTTGGATACCTGTGTGACTCGTGTGCATAGGAATCGATTATCGAGCTTTCGGAGTCACTAGTGAAGTTCAAGAGTGCCCCGAAGTGAAGAGGTATCCTGGTGAACCAGAGACAGGTTATTCCCAACTGGTAACAGAGACAAGTTAGTGATGCTGAAGTCTTTTTGTCACTTCCGACCATTCCCAGCGTTTCCACGATGGGAACGAGAGCGTGTTTTCCATGTCCTTTGCGGACACTATAGCCCTCGCAAACCGGTGGGTAATACGCGTGCAAGGAGCTCTACTCGTCTCTTCGAAAGTACGGCAGGGACCCACCGGTAACAAAATTTAGGCGTTTTGTGTCATGGATTGCAGATGATGCACTGCCAATGGAAATGACCCTGTGATCAATAATGGTGCCCTCGAACGGTCGGATGCAATGATCCCACCAACACTAGTTATTCAAATCCCCTTCCACGCATATCTCCAAGACTACGATTCATCTGGTAATGGGTAATAGATGAACATGGTCAGTTTGTAACACTCAACTTGGGTGAGGACACACATTTCATGCATTGTGGTACAGGTGGGTGTTGCATGCTTTGTGCGGCTAAGCTGTGATATTGGTATCGGATTGGTGTCGTTCAGAGAAAGGAGGACGTATGTGTGTTGTAATAGCCACTTACGCTCGTAAAGCGCGGCAGGGAGTAGTGGAAATTGGTATTGTGCTAGTGGTTCTTTAGAAGGTCTATCATGAATCTCAATCTTAATTTTATTTTTATTTTTTAATGTTTTCTATTTTTTTTCCCCTGTGACGCTCAAAGCAAACCACGCCATTGTCACCGCCAGCCAAATTTGCTCAATCACAGAACATGCACTGTGACCAGCCTTCGCTGACCCTTGGTTACGCTTTAACTTCCCAAGCCTTCCAACGCGGCTACCACGGAGGAAATCACTAGCGTGAGTGATAGTAACCTCGTCCTGGCGCTGATCATCTCTGATTTTAACCACCATTGCATTACCATAACCTTCCAATTCAACAGCGACCGACCAAGTGGCTGAACCTTTATGTCTAGAGTCATTAACTACCCAATGTTAACCAGTCAGAACTCCAGTACAGTTAAAAACTTCAATTCAGTCAATCCTCCTCCTCATCCTCCCAATGCCGGGAAGCACTTTCCGAGGGTCTTCGCTTTACTGAAAGGAGGGAATTATGGTAATTGTGGTAGAGCTTGCCAATTTAGTCATACCTCAAAAATCGTGGTAATGCTTCTCAACACTGACGTTTCCAATATAGACTGCGTGCACTAAGAGAACATTAATTTTCCCTAACAGGAAAACTGTGGCGTAGCAAGCTGGATTTCACCGCCAGAAGAGGCGCACTATTCCTGGCGACTCTGGATTCCACCTACAGACCACAGCCAGACAACACCGATCCACACCATTCGATCGCAATCCCGTCGTATGGTGTCTTTCAGCAACCTCAATCACAATGCTGCACCCAGGATCGGAAAGCACGAGGGCCAGCTCTTGCCGAACCCAACGCGAAGGAGAAGGCAATTTCCCACTGGCATACGTTTTGCAGGGGCCGCGACGTTACAACGATTGTGCGCAGCGACATGCATTGGCTGCAAACGGGTCCACCAGAGGAACGCGCAGATTCACATTCATACAGTCGCAGGTTTACCAGCATCATAGCAACAGCCCCATCAAAGCCCCCAACTAACTCGTTATCGTATACGTTGATGGAACATGAACGTGAGCGGAGCTCCAGTCTCATATCTCCCTGTCTCTCCTGTCCGAGCTTCTTTGGAGAGATCGAAGCGGTCTCACGTTGTCTGTGAGGCTGTTGCTGCATGGAGCTAGCGCCTCGGCCGGCCATACACTCGGATCCAGCGGGAGCGTGGGAGGGAGGATGCAGAGCGGTGATGCGGCAGGCACACATCGAGGCCATGACGTCGTCCCCCCGCCCCCCCCCCCCCCTGTATACTACTCGCCTTCATGTCGGTGACCCCCCACTCCGCCGCAACTCGCGCTGCCACCCCGTCTCTCTCCTCCTCCTCCTCTTCACTCTCCAAACATCACAACACAGTCATTCATCAAAATACAGACATGTACCCACACACACACACAAATGTATGTATGTATATGTATATATATATATATATATATATATATATGTGCACACAGACATGCAGATGGATAGATGTATTGGTGGAATTTGCTCACTTTCAATGCATGTCATGACAAAGACGTAGTTGATAAGACAAGGAACTAGACTTGGTTCGAAGATTGGTATTTTATCATGTTTCCAACATACTTGCATGTTTTGTGTATCACTCTGGCTTGCCATTGTTTTCAGGTTCTGTGTTGATTTTCATGTGTTTGTTGTTTGTCTGATCATTAGATGGATTCAGAGCACTGTTTTTAAGTCACCGTGATCATGTGGAATTTATGGTCTGTGTTTTTTACGTGCGATCATGATCTTAGATAATTGACCCCATGAAATAGTATTTTATTGCCATTATTTGGAAGTAACAATGTGGAGTTATACATTGCTTGAGGAACTTAGTGGTCTAAGATTTATTGGCAAACAGTGTCTGGGACCAAAATTATAAACACAGACA